GGCTGGGGTGCCCAGGAAGCAGGTGGTGACACTGGCAGCATCAGCTGAGCAGAGCAGAGTGAACTGCTGCCATGGGGGCTGCCAAGAAGCACAGTCCAAATGCTGCACTGCCCCTGCCCCACTGTGCACCCAGGAGCAGCAGGACGAGCCACACACATCATGGGCTGGGTTTCCCCCCATGCCTGGGCCAGGTGGAGCCATGAAACCCACTCCCAGCCAGACAGACTCCTTCGACAGGCTGAATCTGCTACATGGGACATATTTTGCCCACCCCTCAGCTAAGCTCACTAATTCTGTCCATTTTTGGTTAGCAACACACTTTTTAATTGCTTTGAATTAATTCAAAAATGTTCATTAAATTCAGAGTTTAAAGGCTATATTTTTTGTAACAGTAAATTCATCGTTGCATAGGTTACACATCAACGACCAGAGCGTGCATCCAAATTCTGTGGGTAAATATGTATTACCTTTCTGTGGTGTTTACAATCTGATTCTCAGGACACAGCCCTCAGGTCTAGCAATGCTTTGCTCAGTATAGGACTGAAGGGAAGAACCAAAAGAAGCCTTTAACTAACTTTTATACATCCTAATACTTGAGCTACATATGGAAGTAGTTCAGTCCCACAGCAGGATAACACTCACCTGCCCAATTACAGCAGCTGTACAACTGGAAAGTACAGGGACCAGAATCTGGTCATCAGCACTCCAGTGTTACCAAGGTCATATAAACTTCTACTGGAAATAGTTTTTGAATTTTATGATCACCAGAGGATTTCAGAATACTCTTGTGTGCCAGCTCTGCTCAGTTACAACAGATGGCAATATCACAAATGCTTAACTTCTATGTCACCAAGAGGGTCACAAACCAGAAGAGACTACATGGAAGAGAACAGAAAATCCAGTTCTGATGCAAACTAAGCTGTTTATGAAGCAGAGGAATTATCAACTATTACACATTTTCACACAATCAAATAATGAGAAACCATTTATCTTTTGTGAAAGAGTCCAGGAATAAAAAGTTAGATGCTAGCAAATTAGAAAAAAAAAATCAGAATAATGTCAAAATAAACTTATGCTTTTACTAGTCAACAGTTAATTGGAGATTACATTGCTTTACTTCTACTTCTGAGTGATCCCACAGAGAAGTAACATTGCAAACTTGTAGTGAGAGTGCACACACTTCTGAGCAGAAGGAAAATTGTGTAATAGGTGGGATAGAAGCTGTGCTGTATGTAAAACCTTAAAATATTTAGAGTAAAAGCCCTTTTATCCAGCATTTTACTAACTGGCATTTCTATAAACTAGAATTTCTGGCCGGCCGTGGGGGGAAGAAGCTCACACGCAGCTGTCGCCGCCACCCACCATCCTGCGCTGCTGCTGCTCCACGTGCGGCCCCTGCCACCACCCCCACCTCCCACATGTGGCTGCCAGTACCATCCCCGCCCCGCTCCACGTCTGGCTGCAAACCTCTGTGGCTCAGGTAACTGGCATTTTTAGACTACCAGCACCCCCCATTCCCCACTCATGCCAGAAAACAGGGCTCTTACTGTATATAGCAACTGTAAACATAGAAGCCTTCAATATAATAGCACATCTGAAATCAGTTACTACTTCATTCCCACTGATTTAAAAAGTATTTTTACTTGAAACAAAGCCAAAAAGATCAAAAACATACCCACTCAAATTAGTTTCAATAAGCTCTACTCCATGTCTAAACTAATTACTGCAGCTAGTAAGACTTTGCTCTGCAATGGGTAACTAAGCCTGAAACAGGAATGGAGGGGTTTAAAAGGATGTGTGAATTCTACAAGTACTGCAGGACTAAGGGAAAAAGATGATCTGCAATTTCTTTTTAAGTGCTAGAACAAGAGATATATGATCCTCATCACCTAACCAATTCAAGGGTTGTTGGAACAATAAACTCAAGTCTCTCCGCAGCTGACATTCATGACCAACATTAGTGCCTAACTGATCCCCAACTGCATGCACGCTATGTTCTTTGCCAATGCTCTTAAGTCTTCCCTTCCCTAACTTACTTCCCCACATCCTTGTAAACCCTTCCTTTTCTAATCACAAGACCAAAAAACGTTGACTTCCTTCTGTTGCATTCATAATGTCTTGTCACATCAGTCTTTTCTTTTCTTGTTCCACAGCCGATAGAATTCTCAATATTTTCTGTCAGTCTGCATTTCAGTGCTTCTACTCCCTGAATCTCACTTTTAAGGGTGCAACTTTTGTAGTCTTACATAACTGTTATCCATATGACTGACTTCAAAAGTAATTTCTGTTTTAAAGCCATTCCTTCTATTCTTCCAGACTGTTGGTAAATTTACCATGGCTGTTTTACAGTGCCTAACATCCTTTGAACGTCCCATTCAAATGAAATATGTTGATTAATGACTGGACCTAGACAAAAAATACACCCAAACAACTCTTCAGCCTGCTCAAGCAATTCCATTTTATAAGAAGGCTCAGGGTGTGGTTTTCTTTCATTAGGGCCATCATCTTTGTCTTGGAAATATTAAATCAGACTCTTGTACTACTTTATCTACCCTATTGACAAGTGCTGTGGTGCCTCAGATAATGTAATCAAGCCCATCCTCTACATGTCTCAATATTACTTAATCTCCTGTCTTAATGCTTCCTCTAAAACTGTACCTTTCCTCATTGACACCTATTGCAGACTATTGAGATAAGGTGACATGGGTATACTCTATCACATTACCCAACTGCAAACCATTTTGGCATTAATTCTGCCATTCTACCGCAGAATTAATTACAATCATTGAATTAAGCGCAGCCAGGATCCCATCTCCAGCATAGTCAGCCATAAGGTATGTTGAACCAAGTCAAATGCCTTAGTGAAATTGACAAAAGAGACATAATGGCTGCCTGAATCCTCAAGCCTCACCCATCATGATCCTGAGATCAGTCACTTAATCTTTTATGCCCTTTTCAGACGTCATTATACATCACTGGAATTACAACACAAAAAGGCTAGATGATAAACTGCTATTTAAAGAACCTTTGATTTTGAAATACTAACAAAGCAAATGAACAATTACAGTTTAGATCTTACGAGCTGAGAAACTTTCAGTGGTCTCCAAACTTTTTTGATCGCGTAAGCCTATCAGTAAAAAATTGAGCACGCACCCCCATCAGTAAAAAAATTTTGAGTACGCACCCCCAATAAATGTATACTTATATAAATAGAAATAGAAGTTCTAATATTTTCTTCCCGCCCCCCAATGGATAGTCTTGTGCACCCCCTGGGGTGCGTCCATCCCACTGTGGAGACCACTGCAGTAGTTCATTCACAACAGAAATAAGCCAACTCTTTCAAGCACCTCAAGAAAGAAACAATGGATATGTGCATTGATGAAACAGGTGGAGCAGCTAAGTCCCGGATGTAAACATATATATTTCTACTTTGATTTCCCAATTCTTAACATCACTAATAAAAGGAAGCAATTATTACCATGGTAGAAGAGGGGTATTAGCTTCATTCAGACTGTGTCGTCTCCTTACCTGTCATACTCACTTTGGCTTCCAAGGAAATGTATTTAAGCCATGACCTCTATATTCAAAGGATAAGTTGCTCAACTGAATATCAATATACTGTATTTACCTGAATACAATATGACCCTGAATATAGGATGACTCTCTCCCAATAATTGGATTCTACACCTGGGAAATATATAAATTTATTATGATTTTCCATGTATGGAATCTAATTACTGCAGGGTTGTCTTAAATGTGCTCCTTCCCCCACTACTGCAGGTGGGGGGAAGGGGTGATGAGGAGGGTAGTAAGGGGGAGGCAGCAGGGGTGCACGTGGTTGGCAAGCGGTAGGGGACAGTAATGAAGCAGGCATTAAGGGACAGGCATTGTGGACGTGGTAGGGCAGGCAATGAGAAAGAAAGGCAGCTTGCCCCCCTTCTGCCCACCCTAACCCTCTACTTACCCCCCATTATGCCTATCTCCTCACCCCCCAGACTCCAGCTGCCCCAATTCTTCCTACCCCTATTCCCTCCTCTTCCCCCCTCCATGCCACTTCTGTCCCACACAGCCTCAGCATCTTCCCTCTCCAACCCCTTCCCCCAAGTATCTTTCCCCCAGGCCTGGGCTGCAGCAGCAGTGCCAGTTCCATGCCACTGCTACAGGGGTGAGCTACAGCCATGCTCTATGCCCCTGGCTGTAGCAGTGATAGAGCCTGGTTGCACAGAGGAAAGGTAAGGAGTGCAGCAGAGGGGGAGAGAGAGGGAGAAGCAACACGGGGTAGTGGGGAAAACCAGGGACTGCAGGGGAGGAGTGGCAGGGCCTGATGAGGCAGCAGGGGGCAGATAGCAGCTGTGGCTCCAGCTGTTGCCCCAACCCCAGAGCAGCTGCCTGCCCCCCCACACCCCTTCATGCTCAACTGTAAGGCAACAAAGCTTCTTTCCTCATCTTAAGAGGGGGAGGAGGGAATTTTCTAACAGAGAAAATACAGTAGTTGACATTTAGTCTACTCTAAAATTATAATACTTTTAGTACTGTAAGATACCCATGGAATAACCAAAGCAGCAGGATCTAATTTGAGCTGGTGGTCAATTTGGACAAAGATAGCCAGTTGGGGAGGTAGAAGGGGGCAAGGGGCAAGACAGAGACTATTGGTAGTGGGTCCCATGTAAAGAAATCTGACGGAACAATGGGTGGGGTCAGCACAAAGAACAGTTGTCCCCAGAATATCTGCTAAAGTGTCTTGATGCTATTTAATAAAAATGTTATTATGGCTGCCTCCATTAGCATAACTGATCATGCTTAGTCCCATACTATAAAACACACAGCTTAATATATTGCTAAAAAAACTCCTTATAGCTCTTGATTTTAAATAAAAGCATTAGAAATGCTGTTTTTGTCATCAATTACTGTGCAGCAGAACTCTCAGAAGTATTTTCAAATACATATTTTCTCCCTATTTAGTTGTAAGAAAAAAAAAATTAAGAACAAAATATGCTTACCAAGCCCAGGGTTAAACCAATCAATAAGGTGGCCAAGATGAAAATTGCATAAGAACCCCAAACATGAATTCCAAGAGTGTCTGTGAAGTAGCTGTGAATTTGCTGCAAATGGAAAAAAAAGATTTAATTTGTTTTTAAACACACACACTGTACTATAGACTACAAGGGGATAGAAAAGGTTAATTATCCATTCTGCCATCACCTATTTCTCAAATTGTTCTTCTCAAGTTAACTCCCAAATGACACTTTCCTTCGTGTTTTCCTCTAATAATTAACGGAGAAAATCTTTAAAAAAACAACTGACCATTTTTTCTTCCTGTGATATTCTAAACTTATTAGTGCTACAGTAACAAATCAAATTGAGTCAATATTTCATGGTGGCACTTCCCTTGATTTACAATTCAATCTCCATCATGAGATGAAAAGCCTTCTTGAATCACATTGCAGAGCACTGAAGGCAGAAAGTTAACCTAAAACTTACAAAAGTGCATACTCCAAAATACCTACTTTCAACTGGTATATTATATATACACTGAAGTGCAGAACTAAGCATTTATATTAAATAAAAAAGAAATAAAAGTCAAAGAAGTAAGTATGGAGGTATCTTCACAATACAGAGTTGAATCTTTTCCATTCTTACTCTATTTTTGCATCTAATGTCCTCACCTCTATTTCTGTTCAGAAATTGGCTAGCAAAAAAGGACAGCAGTAATAAAATGAAAGACTTCAGATTATCCTAATGCACTTAGCAAACAGCTCTGCTAGCATTAAGGATGTTAACAATCCAGATAATTAACGGTTTAAACTATGATTAGCACACTCACAAGAATTGGAATCAGAACTGAGTCTAGATTTCAGGGAGTTTATCTTATCTTATTTACTTGAATCCCAGATGAGGTTCATCCCTGCTCCCCTGCACCCCACCCATTCAGCAAAAGGGAAAAAAAAACATGATCTTGAATTCAAGTACAAAGAGAAAGTGGGGGGCAAGGGGTCAAAGAAAGTGGGATGGGGGGCAGGGTCAGAGTCACAGCAGCTGCCTGGACCCTCTGCTGCTTCTACCAGCCCCAGCAGCCTCTGCACATCCAGACCATCCACCACACCCCTCTCCCCCTCAAATCCCCAACTGCCAGGTGTGGCTCCAGCTCCATTTTCTCCAGGGGCACAGAGCACATGCAAGTTCCATCCCCAGCATAGCCGTGCAGCAGCATCCTGGGGCTGGCGCCATGCCACCACTGCCAGGCAGGGGACAGAACTTCCACATGCTCTATGTCTCAGGAGGGAATGGAGCCAGAGTCATGTCTAACTTAAAGGGTAAGGGGACAGGCGGCAGGGGGTCCACCTGCCTCCCATCCCAGCTGCTGCTTTCCCCACAGCAGCAATGAGGTAAATTAATTTAAAGATGACCTTCCAATAATTAGATTCTATACCTGGAAAACTATAACAAATTTTCCATACAAAAGATCTAATTACTGGGGGGCAGTCTTATTTTCAGAAACCATCTTAGGTTTGGGTAAATACCATATTTACCCAAATCTAAATACCGTATTTGTTTTGTAATTAATGCCAGGCTCCAAGTATGAGAGGTTAGAGAAAGGTAGTTAGCTGGGTTAGTCTGATGTTAGGCAGGAGGCAGGGCAACGTGTCACCTTACAAACTAACTTAAGAGCGAAGCTAGGAGGAGACTTTCCTGGACACTGCAAATTATCCCAGATCTGTACGCAGAGGCAACCTGAGCAGGGTGCGGGGCCTGGGGCAAATCAGCTGCTCTGCCCAGCTCCACGGGGCCCAGGGCAGTCGCCTCCATTCACCCCCTCCAGGCCCTGTATGCTGCAGAGTTTTGGGGGGTTATTTTCTGAATTTCTCTAAAGTAACTACTACTAAAGTAATCTGTCTTCGCCTTGCTTGCAGTGTCCCCCTTTCCCAATCCTTTGTATTTAGAGAAAGTTAGTTATGTTAGTCTGAAGTTAGGCAGTTAGACTATACAGTGCCAACCTGCTCTGCCATCTTTGTACAGTATTTAAAATTACCTTATTCTTTTCTATTCAGTACCCCTGCCCTCTGCAAATCCACTCACAGCATCTGATTAAGTAGGTTCTTATCTATGAAAGCTTACACATTTTTGAACAAGTTGGTCTCTGAGGTGCCACCCTGTCCTCCCTTCTCTCTCTGAATATGGTCTTTAGGCAACATATCCTACAGTATTTTCAGTCAAAATGCTTCATAAGAAAAAGCATGCAAATACATGCATAAGAAGAGCATACAAATTGCACCTGAGCAAGAAAGAGAACCTCTGTCTCAAGTGTCCCACCTCTGAAGTGTAATAGAGAATAAAAAAGGATATGTACTTGTTGGGAGAGGAACAGAAAGAAGAGCAACAGGTTGTGCTGCTGACCATGCCTTCCACCGTGACTGAAGGGGTAGCTCAGTCTACTAAAAAGTATCCAGTCAAGTCTGCCAAACCTAACACTAACCCGTTTCTGACTCTGTTCATTCTATGCCTACAGATATCAAGGCATAGATTTGGTTTGTGGCCTCTCCTTCACAGAAATCTGAAACCCAAACACCTGTGCTCCAGGGATCCACAGTTATGAGCAGCTGCTAAACTTCTCCCACTGTTATGCATGATAAATCATTCTAATCAACCTCATTTTAATAATTAAGCAAACATGGTATGGGGCTCAGGGAAATCAAGGGTTGTGATTTTCAAACTCTTCCCCTCATAGAAGAAAGTATGTCAAGTGCCTTCAGTAATGAGATACATGCATATGTACAGAATCCTGTCATTTGCCTTCCCCCTGTCTCCACAATGTATGTGGGTAAGAGTTGGTGGTATATACCTATTAAACTGTTGGCAGAGGCCCAGGATTGTTCTTGATGAAAGGAAAGCAGCAGATCAAAATTTCTTTTAATAGCTCTGTTAGGGAAGTCTTAGTGGAGGGGAAGGGTGGGGGGGGGGAAATGCAAGTGTGAAAATATCTCAGCCAAATTCAAAGTTAAGGAGCCTTTATGAGAGAGAGCCTGCCAGTAGCCCATTCCGTTGTACCAAGAAAACTGAAGCTTGAGAACCCTAGTAATAGTAGTTATACCACTAGATTCATAGATGTTAGG